ATAATGCTGCTATGAACATTGGTGTGCATAGGTTCTTTTGAATTAGTGTTTCAGGATTCTTAGGGTATACATACTCCTAGCAATGGAATTACTAGATCAAAAGGCAGATTTATTTGTAGTTTTTTGAGGAAATTCCACACTGTTTTCCACAGTGGCTGCACCTGTCTTCATTCCCACCAACCACATAGTAGGGTTCCCTTTTCTGCACAACCTCACCAGTACTTGTTACAGTTTGTTGATTTCTTTATGTTGGCCATTCTGACCGCTGTGAAGTGATATCTTACTGTGATTTTAATTTGCATCTCTCTGATGATTACTGACGCTGACACAGCATACTATCCTTTCATATGTCTCTTGGCCCTTTGTATGTCCTCCTTGGAAAAGTGTGTGTTCAGGTCCTTTGCCCATTTTTTAAAAGGTTTGTTTGTCTTCCTGGAGTGGAGTCATGTGAGTTCTTTATAATTTTGGAGATCAAACCCTTGTCTGAGGTATCATTGGCTAATATATTTTCCCATATGATTGGTTGCCTTTTCCTTTTGCTGATGTTTTCCTTGGCATTGCAGAAGGGTTTTTTTTGTTGTTGTTGTTGTTGTTTAGGTTTTTAATTTGATGTAGTCCCATTAGTTTATTCTTTCCTTTATATCCTTTGCTCTAGGGGACATATTGGTAAAAATATTGCTGTATGGAATATCTGAAATTGTCCTGCCTATGTTCTCCTCTAGGATTTTTAAGTTACCACAACTTATATTTAAGTCTTTTATTCATCTCAAGTTTATTTTTGTGCATGATGTAAATCGGTGGTCCAGTTTTATTTATTATTTTTTTTGCATGTAACTGTCCAGATGTCCCAATATCATGTATTGAAGATACTATTTTGCTTCATTTTATGCTCCTGCCCCCTTTGTCAAATAATAATTGACCATAGAAAGATGGGTCTCTTTCTGGGCTCTATTCTGTTCCATAGGTCTATGTGTCTGTTCTTATGCCAGTACCAGGCTGTTTTGATTACAGTGGTCTTGTAATACTATTTGATATCAGGTATTATAATCCCTCCTCTTTGTTCTTCTTTCTCAGAATTGCTGAGACTATTTGGGCTCATTTATGGTACTATATAAATTTTTGAAATATTTTTTCTATGTTTGTGAAATATGTCCTTTTTAATTTAATTTTTTTGTTTTTTCTATTAGTTCCATTCCATAAACAACAATAGATTTAGCAAGTTTTCTCTTTCTCCTACCTATTCTCTCATTAATCTGTATTTCATCCATCTTTACTTTCTTAGAGTTTACTTTGTATTTCTTGATCTGAGTATATTTCTATTCCTTTACCAGTAAATTATAGATTACCAGTGAAATTGTTCACTTCCCTCTACTAATTGCCTAGTTTTACATTGTCATATAACATTTCCTTTTTATGTTTTGTGCTCATATTTGTTTAATCTTAGTTTAATAATTAAATGTATTCATTAGTCACCACATATCTTTTCGTCATGATTTCCCAGTTTTCTCTTGCTGACTTAAGTTTCCCCTCAGGCAGATTTTCAAGAAGAGGTCATGGGAAAAATATTAGCTGAACTTCTGTTTGGTCAACACCAGTAACCTTTATACAGTTTGGCTTATCCAAACATAATACTTATAATTATGTTTTCCTTCTCTTTCTTTGAGAACTATAGGTGTTTCTAGAGTATTCTCTGTCATTACGGTTGTATTAGATAAATTTGAAGCCAAGCTGATATTTTTTCCTTGGTTCTGTTTTCACTTTTTTTTTGCTTGGAACCAAATTTTTTTTCTTCATCTGTAAAATCCAATAACACTAATAAGCTATAAATGCAATTAATGACGCTGGGTTAATTCTCCCAAATCTTTCAGAGACAACGTTGCATTTTTTTCAATATGTTGATTCAAGTCACTTTTTATTTAATCGAAATTGTCCTGAATTACAACTTTTTAAAAAGTTTTTCTTTTGCTTTTCTTCTTTGAGAGCTCACTTGTTGTAGAACTTTTTTGTCTGATAATTATGTTTGTAATTTTCTCCCTAAACTATTTTGAACCTTTCCCTTTTCTTTTCCTTTTTGTTTATTTTTTCCCCCTTACAGCTATCCTCTTTCATGTCTTCCAGGTAGTTTCCTGCCTTCTTTGCATCCTTTCCAAATTCTTCTCTTTTTTGTGTGTTTTACTTTTATTTTCTAATCCTTTTTTGATTCTTGTGAACTCATTTTTAATTCTCCTATTGTCAAGCTATATCAGTCTTATTCTTGCAATTCTACTTAGTAATTTTCTGTCTTATAGAGTATTATTTTATTAAGTTTCTATTGTTTTGTTTATTTATTCACTTGCTTCATAGTCTTTTAAAAGTAAAAATTTATTTAGGTGGACTTGGCTATCAGAAATACTATATTACTCTTTCTTCAATTTTGTGTTTTTAAATATATTTTATTGATTATGCTATTACAGTTGTCTTATTTCACCCCCTTTACTCCCCTCCACCCTGCACACCCTCTCCCACCCACATTCCCCTGCTTTAGTCATGTCCATGTGTCATAAGTTCTTTAGCTTCTACATTTGCCATACTATTCTTGCCCTCTTCTGTCTATTTTCTACCTACCATCTATGCAACTTATTCTCTGTACCTTTTCCCTCTCTCTCCTCCTCCCACTCCCCTGTTGCTAACCCTCCATGTGATCTCCATTTCTGTGGTTCTGTTCCTGTTCTAGTTGACCAATTAGTTTGTTTTTGTTTTAGGTGTAGTTGTTAAGAATTGTGAGTTTGCTGTCATTTTACTATAAATGTTTTTTATCTTCTTTTTCTTAGATAAATCCCTTTAACATTTCATAAAATAAGGGCTTGGTGATGATGACCTCCTTTAACTTGACCTTATCTGGTGGCACTTTATCTGCCCTTCTATTCTAAATGAAAGCTTTGCTGGATAAAGCAATCTTGGATGTAGGTCCTTGCCTTTCATGACTTGGAATACTTCTTTCCAGCCCCTTCTTGCCTGCAAGGTCTCTTTTGAGAAATTAGCTGATAATTTGATGGGAACTCCTTTGTAGGTTACTGTCCCCTTATCTCTTGCTGCTTCTAGGATTCTCTCCTTCATTTTTCACTTTGGCTAATGTAATTATGATGTGCCTTGGTGTGTTTCTCCTTGGATCCAACTTATTTGGGACTCTCTGAGCTTCCTGGACGTCCTGGAAGTCTATTTCCTTTGCCAGATTGGGGAAGTTCCCCTTTATTATTTGTTCAAATAACTTTTCCACTTGTTGCTCTTCCCCTTCCCCTTCTGGTTCCCCTATAATTCAGATGTTGGAACAAGTGGAAAGATATCCTGGAGTTTCCTAAGCCTCTCCTCATTTTTTGAATTCTTATTTCTCCATTCCTTTCTGTTTGATTGTTGCTTTTTTCCTTGTGGTCCACTCCATTGATTTGAGTCCCAGTTTTTTTCTCATCACTATTGGCTCCCTGTGCATTTTCCTTCATTTCAATTAGCATAGCCTTCATTTTTTCATTTAATTTGTGACCAAATTCAACCAATTCTGTGAGCATCCTGACCACCAGTGCTTTTGAACTGTGCATCTGATAGGTTATCTATGTCTTCATTGCTTAGTTGTATTTGCACTGGAGCTTTGATCTATTCTTCCCTTTGGGCCATTTTTTTGTTTTTGTCTTGTCATGCCTGTTACGTATAAGGGGCAGAGCCCTAGGTGTTCACCAGGGCGGGGCAACCCAGTTGCTGGGTTATGATGTTGTATGTGGGGGCAGGGTCCAAGAGGGAACAATGGCACTTACTCTGCTCTCTGTTGAAGAGTGTCTTTTCTGACACTTCCCTCAAGCTAACTGGGCCTTCCTGGTGCTAATTCCTGTGTTGGTGGGCTTGTGCACATTCTAGGACTCCATAGGTCTCTCCAATACAATACACTCTCCTATGAGGCTAGGAGTCTCTCCCTGCACCTCAACCCCCACAGGTGTTTTCAGTCAGTGTCCCAAGGCTCTATTTCCTGAGGCTGGGACCCTGGGTTGTGAGGTCTGTCCTACTGCCCAGTTTCATCTGGCTTATCTGTATGCGAATGTGCGACTGTTCCAACAGCCAGCTGCCTTGCACACAGTGCTTTACTTCACAATCGCTGCCTCACTGGGTCTGCCAGCCACCTGTGTGTCCAGGGGCCGCTTGCTGTGGTCTTGCGCCCGGGATGCCTCAAGAGCCCCGTACCACCACTTTTTGTGCTGTGATCCCTCTCTGCCTGGTTGCCTGACTCTGCCTTTCTTACCAGTCCAGATGAATGTTTATATTTTAACTCCTTGGTTATGCAACTTCCATACAGTTCAATTTTCTGTCAGATCTGGTTGTTACCTTGTTTCTAACCTGTTGCTGACCTTATTTTGGTTGTGCAGGGAAGCACAGTGTGTCTACCTACACCTCCATCTTGGCCAGAAGTCTCAATTTTGTGTTTTTAATCTATTTTATAATTTTTCATCTAATATGCATACATAAGCATACATGTATATGATTTTTCCTATATATCTTATATTTTATGTCTAGCCAATTAACGCTTTTATTAAAATATAAAGGCACTTGATTTCTTTGGAAAATTATTCAAAATTTTTCAACTATTATATAAGTTGTTTTATACCATTTCCCTTTAGGATCTTTATTGTAAAAAAAATATTGTTTTAATTGCTTTTCCTTTTTGAGCTTTAGCTATGTTTTAAAATAGAAAAAACTTACCATTTTTGTTTTTCATTTTATTTTAAACAAAAAAAGGTCACTATATAATAGTTCTTTGCAAAAAACAATGTAACTATCAATAGGAATAAATTGATTTTATCCTTATTCTTGATAAAGTTATAAGCATTCCTTGTTTTAGGATATCATATAGAATTTATATACTTAAATATTTGATGACTCATTTCACAAGTGGTTTCAATATGCAGGCCCTGGATTACTGTGTTAACTGTGCTTATTTTTGTAGACCAAAATATCTAATGATGTTACTTATATTTTAGGTTAGTGGGATGGTTTGGTCATGAACTCAGCACTAGATTTAAAATGGATAACAGTAAGTATACTCCATTTTACTTTGTAAGTAATTTTATTTTAACTTTATCTTAATTTTCATCTGTCTTTGTACAATATGTAATATATATGCCACATGGAGAGGGCACTTTGAAAATGCCACTGAGAATTTTTAAAATAAAAAATGACATTTCCAGTGTAAGACTAAGTGTTTGTAGCTTTTAACATGATTTTGAGTCTATCCCTTTGTAGGGAGATCAGAGGAAATAAAATCTAACATAAAGGGCTCAGATCTCATTAATATGGAGTATCCAAAGCATGAGGCAGTGAGGGCAAGAAGGAATTTTTGGCTTGAAGTCAGACCCAGAGAGACTTGGGTGTCAATCCCACTTTGCTGCTTAATACTTCTGTGATGCTACACAAGTTACATCATCCTGTTTTTTGTTGTTGTTGTTGTTGTTGTTGTTGTTCTTCTTCTTCTTCTTCTTCTTTGTCTTACATATTTCACATGAATAACATCTCTTTCAGGATTTGTTTGGGGGGTAAGGACAATTAAAAACAGCAAACAGCAGTGTTATTGAAGAAATGTTCATTTTTATCTCCTCTTCTCCCAATTTTTCCTCCTTTTGTAACTTCTGCCACTTACTAAACAGTAGCAGTTAAACTTCAGTAGGTAGAAATGAAAGTACACCAGGCACAGCGGGCTCCCAAACTGCCCTGCTTCTTTTCCTCAGTAACTGTTTTCAATCACATGGGATACAAAAAGCTTCACAAATGTTGTGAGAGTTCAATATAAACAAACTTGATTGTTCAAATTGCTCTCAACCCTGAGATAGTATTTTAACCCAATTCACATTTGCAGAAATCAAGATGCAAAGGATGAAGATGGGCTCTTCTAGTCAGATCAGAAAATGTCTTTTTTTTATGTTGGCTGCTGAAATAATTAGCTATGTTGCTATTCTAGTTACTTAAATTCTTTGTGCTGGATTTCTTGTCTGTAAATGAGGGAGCTGGATTAGATCAGGGGACAAAGTTTTTCTATGAAGGGCTGGATAGGAGATATTTTAAGCTTTGGGGGCCAAACTGTCACTGTGGCAAATACTCATCTCTGCCTTTGTAGTGCTAAAGTCATCATAGACATACATAAATGAATGAGTGTGGCTCTATTCCAATAAAGCTTTATTTATAGAAACAAGTGGTGGGCCACATTTGGCCCACAGGACATTGTTTGCCTAATTTGGATTAGATGAATCTCTAAAGATACAGAATATTCTAAATTTCTTTCAGGCAGTTTTAGTTTTAATTGGGATTCTAGTCAGCAATCTTAACTCTATTGGATTTAACTTTCTACTATTCAATCTAATTCATTCTAATTAGCATACTATCTTATATTTACCTTTTTACTATATCGCACTTAGGCAGATTGTTTTTTTAAAACCTCTTTTAATTTTCCCCCCTAAGAGAAACCATTTGACTTACAGCTGAAAGTCACCTTCATAGGTCATTTCATTCATATGCCTGCCTTTGGGCAACATTACAATTACAAGCCATTTAAATCCTGATGTTTTTCTCTCATTGACATGGTTTCAGACAGAATAGCAAGGCGTGGAATAGGACAAGAAATATGGGTTTGGGAATAGCAGAGGTCAGGGTCCAGAGAAACTTCTAAAAGAGGCCATTTTTATCTTATGTCTAAGGTCTCTAGCTTTTGACAGGTTGCCAAAAAGGTGAAAGCAGGGAAGACAATCATTGCAGGTGAATGGGGAAATGTGCCAATTTTTAGGTCTATGGATTTTCTCTTAAACATCACAGAAGTCTTAGGGATAAAAACATTTTAATCTTATATATTCTCTCTCTACTAATTTACTGTTATTGAAGAAAATCAAATAATGAACATTTTTAAAGATGTATTCTATGAAAATGACAATATTAATTTTTCAGAGCTGCAGTTAATCCCTGGGGCCCATGGATTTAGAATTTCAAATCCTCCCATATTCCTGGTCTGTCCCTTACAGGCTAGTTTAGAGGTAAGTGATCTTCACTTCGATCTTCCCACATCTCTACCTTTTTGTTACCTGATTGGGGCATGTTGTAGTACTTTTGCTGATAATCAGCAAGATTATAAGTGTTCACTGTGCACAAACGCTGTACACAAACACTGTGCTAAGGGTGGTTTCTTCCTTTAGGACAGTGACTGTATGTGAATTGTTACCTTTCATGTAGATATCCAGTCCCTAACAGAATGCTGGGCACTTAAATGTTAAATAGAACAAACCAGGGGAGACATATTTTTAGTTCCACTTAGAATTTGTGTGAACTTGAATGAGCTATTTAATCTTCTATTGGTCTCTCTATATACAAAATAAACATTCAATAGTTAATTCTCAATTAATCCCATCATTCAATATTTATTCATTAAGGAATTACTATGTGCCAGACAATGCTGTGATTACTGGGGAGTCTGCTTCTTCTAGTTCTGTGAATCAATGAACTGACAAAGCCCCATGTGACAAAGCTATAGGAGGACCAGCTTTAAGGAGGGGAAATAAGAAAATACGTATAAAAAGTGAGAATAAAACCAAGATTGTGTAAGATTGTTTCATGAACTCCAGTATTTTTTTTTTTAATTAGGGCTTCAGTGCCATTATATCTGTATATAATCTCTACTGTTACCGGCTGAATATTTTTCTTTAAATTCATTCATATTTATTTACTTAAATAAAGTTACTCTTACTCTAAATAATTATATCCAAGGAATTAATTTGTTTTCATAGATATGCATAAATATCTGCTTATTTCTATATATCTAGATGTTCATATGTATCTTTATATATTCCAGCTAATTTTTGGATATTAATTGATTTTAGAGTAAGGCTAAATTTATTTAAGTAAATGTATTTTAATAATTATATATCATACTAATATTAATAGTTACATTAAGAAAATATATATTCCATACACATATTTAAGTAAAGTATAAGTGTGCATATATATTTCTAATAGAGATTTCAAATATATAGCTATTCAAATAGAATTTTTATTTTAAAAAAATGAAGAACCTCCTAAAATAGTGTAGTTTATGATATTTTAGGAAACCTTTGTGGAGCGACCGGATAAAGACTTTCAAAATTTCTTCTAAACCTAAAATTCTAGGAATTCATCAACATTTATAGTAGTTTCTCATTTTGCCCACTGGGCGGCAGTGCCACGTTCCTCTGTTTCTAAACAACTACCACTAGATTTTTGATAATCCACTTGTTTCATTCTATCCCAATTTAAAAAGAACAGGTACTCAGTTTGACCACTAGATGGAACTTGTGCTGTTCAAACTTTTTAGCATTTTTTTTTAAGTTAAAATAGAATCAGGAATAAAATTTTTTTCCAGTGATATATTTTGGGGGAGAAGATGCTTAGCAAATTAGATAATGATATTTGAATTGTTTTTATAATATACATTTAGAAAAATATGTTAATCATTTTAAAACAAAATAAAGTTTTGCTTACTTTTCCAGTTTATATCAGGGAGAAGGAGTTACATTATTTGAAACAGACACAAAGGCATACTTAGGAAAAAACCTAGTACTTAAAGTAAATTTCCTCTTATTTTTTCCTCTTATTTTTCTTATCTTTGTAAGTACTCATCCATCTCAAGACATTTTCTTTTAAACATTCCAGTTGGGTATTTCCTCTGCGGTGGGCAGGCTCTTTCAGGAAGGATTCAGCCCTTCTGCAATGGGAAGAGTCAGATTCTCATTTCCCCTACCACTAGTTTCCTACCAGAGTGAGTTATAGTCACCTAGACAAGGTTTATATTATCAGCTGAAATGGGAAGACTGATTTCTCTTTGCCTTTAATTTTAACTTAACCCTAGCAAAACAACCTAAGAGCCACCAGAAGAGGGATGTGCACTTCCCTGGAGCTTATTATCACCTAAGTATCTCTCTTTTTTAAAGATTTTATTTATTTATTTTTAGAGAGAGGGGAAGGGAAGGAGAAAGACAGGGAGAGAAACATCAATGTGTCAGTGCCTCTCACATGTTCCCTACTGGGGACCTGGTCTGCAACCCTGGCATGTGCCCTGACTGGGAAGCAAATCAGTGACCCTTTAGTTCTTAGACTGACACTCAATCCACTTAGTCACACCAGCTAGGGCTCACCTAAGTATTTCTTTGAAGCCTCATAGAAATACCTAACTGGAATCCTTCACTGTTGAGGCTATGGTCTAACCAAAATTATATTTAAGTAATCAAACCTTATGTTAAAGAAAGGTTTCTTAAAAAATTTTTCCTCCACATCATAAATTGCAAAATTCTGAAGTTACAAACTCATACATTTCATTGCTTCCCATTGTCTTCCTAGTGTTAAACTATTCTGCTTGCTAGATGATTTTGAGTTTGCCATGTGAGTAAAACATGAGTAAATTACTTGCACTGATACTTTGTTTAAAAGTTATTGCATGTAAAACATATATAATTGAAGCTTGAATAAATGGAAGAAATAAATATGTGAATAAAACTACCTTTCTTTGTTGTCCCTACTTCTCTTTCAAAATATATTGTACACTGCCAAATGTCAACTGCAGGAGAGATTCTATGCATAAGAATCAGTGTGCATGACCATGATCTCAGATTTACAGTATAATTTTTAAACAAAGATTAAAATGACTTTGTTTATAATTACATACATTTGATTCATACTTTTAAAATAGGGCTTTAAAATCTGTATCAAACTGTCTTTTTCTTCATATGGTTGCCTCTAAATCATTTATGAAGTACCTTTAAAAGTATTGTAGGTCAAGGAAAAGAGCGTGAGAGCCAGTTGGCAAATATTCACCCCTCACAGGGACACTAAGTGTGGCTTACAAAAATGACAACTACTTGTTCATTGTTTTGCCTCAGATTTTAAAGTGAAGATGTTTAGACCATAGTACTCAGAGGTCTCCTCAATCTTCCAATTACCAACTTGAAATTAAATATCTATATTGTAGTTTGAAAGATCATACTTGATCTTTCAAATATGCTTGTATAAACAACTTTTAGATCCTTCCAGAACATAAATTTAAAATGAAATAAATAACTTCAAAATAAAAATTAGACTATTCAAATAAAATACATGGGAAGTCAGAACAAATTTACTATGCATTGCCACAGAAAGTTATTAGGGAGCCATTTTTAAGAATTTGAGAGAAAAATATGACAATTGAAATCATCATGCTATGCTTATTTTTTCTATTTAAGTTTATCTAACTTTTCTAGCTTTGCATGCATTTTACTCAAGAAAAAAAAGAAAAAGAGAGAAAAAAAAAACAGGTAAACTCTGCCCAGAATTTCATTATAAACTAAGTATTTTCAAGCTACTTTTTATTTTTTAATTATTTTTTCAGTACTGAAAGCATGGAAATAACAAGAAGCAAAGAACAAAAGATTATCTTTGTTTCCTCTTTTATTATCTGTTAACTCCTCCTATTAGCCCATCTTGATAGTTTTACGTGAGGTTTCAGAAGAGACATTTATACTCCGTAAGAAGACTTTTAGAGTGCTTAGGAATGCAGCTACCCTTGTAGTTGTAAAGGGGAAAATAGTTTTAGATTTAAGTTATTTTATTGTTAATGAAGAATAGCAGCATATTAAAACTGAGATATTTGTTATAAAAATGGATTCTAGTTATCAAGATAAATTTTCAAGAAGAAAACTTCTTGTAAAAAAAGTATGAATTTAAATAATATTTCCCAAAGTCTTGCTAACCTATGAACACAAATGAAATATTAAAAGTACTACTTCACACATTGCCCCTGTCTGCATCTTCTGTGGCCTACATCAGAACCAAAAAAATTTCCAGAATTATTTATTAAAATTTCTTCAAATCATTATTAATCTCCCAAGTGAAGCTTCAAAAGTATCCTCTAAGTTTTTGAATTCCCAACCTGTTAGTCAAAACACTGGTGGGCCACTATACTGATGATGCCCCTATACTCCATGAGAATGCTGTTTCTTAAACCAGGCTCACTTGTTCTAAAACTTGGAGGATTTCCTTGAGTCCTCACTGTGCCAGATGTGTTACATTTTGTCTTAAACAAGGAAATAAAGAGATGCCTCCTACCAAACTCCATGTAACCGGGGTTACCTGAATCATAAAGAAGTATAAGGGGGAGTTCTGGCCAAGATGGAGGCCTAGGTAATAATGCTTCATTTCCTCACACAACCAAAGAAGGATAATATCCAATTTAAAAGCAAAAAAACAAGCAGAACTTCCCCCAAATCAAACTGCCTGGAACTCCAACAACCAAGGAGATAAACATTCATCCAGACTGGTTGGAGGGGCGGAGATGGGAAGACAGGTAGAGAGGACACCTGGCAAGGTAGCGGTCTACATAGGCGAGGCAGGGGCTGGTGGATTGGGTGCTCCCACATTCACACATAGATAAGCTAAGAGGAACACTGGGGAATAAGACAGATGATGAAACCTAGGGTTTCAGTGGAGGACACTAAAGACTCAAAAACCTCTGGCTGTAAAAATCTGTGGGGGGTGCAGCTGCAGAAGAGACTCCAGTCTCACAGGAGAGTATGCTGGAGAGGCCCACAGGGTCCTAGAATGTACACAAGCCCACCCACCTAAGAATCAGCACTTGAAAGGGCACAGTCCACTTGTGGGAAGTGAGGGAAGTGATGGAAAGTGGGTGAGAGCCGAGCAAGTGGCATTGTTCCCTCTCTGACCCCTCCCCTACAGGGAGCACCACAACAGTAAAGAGGATTGCCCTACCCTGGCAAATAACTAAGGCTCTGCCCCTTACAATGTCACAGCTACAAGACAAAGAAATATGGTCCAAATGAAAGAAAAGATCAAAATTCCAGATAAAGAACTAAGAGATGAGGATATAGAAAATCTGTCTAATGAAGAGTTCAAAACACTGGTAATCAAGATGCTCACAGAAATGGTTGAGCTTGGTCACAAAATGAAGGAAGAAATGAAAGCTACACAAAGTGAAATAAAGGAAAATATACAGGGAACCAACAGTGAAGGGAAAGAAACTGGTACCCAAATCAATGATTTGGAACAAAAGGAAGAAATAAACATTTGACCAGAACAGAATCAAGAGACAAGAATTCAAAAAAATGAAGGGAGGCTTAGGAGCCCCTGGGACAACTTTAAGCACTACAACATCCTAATCATAGGGGTGTGAGGGAAAGAAGAGAAGAATAGCAAGGAATTGAAAACTTATTTGAACAAATAATGAAGGAAAACTTCTCTAATCTTGTGAAGGAAATAGACTTCCAAGAAGTCCAGGAAGCTCAGAGATTCTCTAAGATTTTGGATCCAAGAACAAACACACCAACCACATCATAATTAAGTTACCCAAGATTAAAAATAATAAAAATAAAGAGAGAATCTTAAAAGCAGCAAGAGAAAAGGAGACAGTTACCTACAAAGGAGTTCCCATAAGACTATCAGCCAATTTCTCAAAAGAAACCTTGCAGGCAAGAAAGAGAGTGGCAGGAAAGTATTTGAAGTCATGAAAGGGAAGGACCTCCATCCAAGATTACTCTATCCAGCAAAGCTATCATTTAGAATGGAAGGACAGATAAAGTGCTTTCCAGATAAGGTCAAATTAAAGGAGTTCATCATGACCAAGCTCTTGTTTTATGAAATGTTAAAGGGACTTACTTAAGAAAAAGAAAATAATAAAAAATCTGAACAGTAAAATGAGAACAAACTCACAACTATCAACAACTAACCCTAAAAAACAAAAACAAATAAGCAAACATCTAGAATAGGAACAGAATCATAGAAATGGAGATAACATGGAGGATCATCAGCAGGGAGTGGAAGGGAGGAAGTGGGTGAAAAGGTACAGAAAATAGAAACATAGATGGTAGTACAAAATAGACAGGGGGAGGGTAAGAATAATATAGGAAATGAAGAAGCCAAAGAACTTACATGCATGGCATGGACATGAACAAAGTGGGGAGAAGGGTGCTAGAGGGTGGAAGAGTGCTGGGTGGAGGTAAATAAAGATGAGAAAAAAATGGGACAACTGTAAGAGTGTAATCAATAAAACATACTTTAAAAAATCATTAAAAATGAAGTAGAAGTGTGCACCCCCTCCCCACAAAAAGGCAGAAGTATCTTCTTGTGGGTAAGTCCCTTGCAGTACAGGCTGCCTCCACTAGGTGAGTGTTCCAGGAACTCATCTGTATCAGTGTACCAGCTGGCTTGTGAGAGGCTGCATTGGGCTTCAGTGACTTTTTCTGAGGACTCTTTCAATGCATTTGTCTATTTCATGATGGGTGATTTATGAGCGCACCAGCCCACACTGATCTGAGTTTTCGGTAGTTTTTGACCAAAAACAGCCTGACTCCCATGCCCCACCCTCCCTATTCACCTAATCGCACCCTGAGCGACTTGTTTTTGTTTGTTTCTCTGGATGAAAAGAAGTCCTCAGAGGGGATCGTTTTGCCCACATGAAAGAGGTGAAACAAAAAATGGCAGAAGCAATAAAAGGCATCAAAATCGATGAGTACACAAATTGTGAACAGTGGAAAAAATGCCTTGGTAGGAATATTGCATCACATCGAGAGTACTTTGAATGTGACAAATTTAAGCATGGAAGGATAAATATACCATTTTTAGTAAATAAATTCCATTTTGGGGGTCCCCCTCATATACTGTGATAAAAGTTATGCAAACATGATCTCAAAATATATGTGCTTACCCTTCTTTATAGTTTCTTTCCTTTTTACATTTTCATAAACTAATTTTTACCATAGATCTTAGGCACTTCAACATACCATTTTTTTCTTTCATTGTTAAGAAGAGAAACCTTTACCTTTTCACTTAAAAGACAAACTTTACAACTCTTTGGCATTTCTAATTGCCAGAATCATTACTCCTTCACTTTGGGGACATTAATAAGTAAAGCAAAGACTTCCTGACTCAAGGCACCACGATACCATGACCGTCAGTCTGATATACAAGATGGTGGCTAAAGAACAAGACGCACAGCATAGAAACACTGAGCAAAGAGATGCTCACATTCTGGGCCAGAGGAGAAGTGCAGCAGGTTTTCATTATGCTGCTTAGAATGGTGCACAATTTAAAGCTCATGAATTGTCTATTTCTGGAGTTTTATGTAATATGGTTGGACCTTTGATGGCAAGAAAAACACCATAAATATGGGGGTATTAGTGTGTCCTTCTCATTGGGATCTCAGATGCCTGCTGAAACAGAGACCAGCTTTATTTGTAGCTGACATTTCTCCTGGCTGCAGACATCATCTGTGAGGTCTGGTTGGCAGGAGAGACAGAAGCCATTGTATCCTCTTTGGGAGATGAGTGGTTCAGGCCAGAGTCATGGTAAAGCAGGTAGTTAGAAGTGGTCTTATTTTAGATATATTTTAAAGATAGAGCTACCAGGTTTTGCAGATGAACTTGTGTGAAGTGTTTGGAAAAAAAAGGAGTCAAGGACGACACCCAAGTGATGGACCTAAGCAACTGGTGGGGAGGGAATTGTCAAAATCCGAGGTGGTGAGGGAGTAAGTGACTTCGGGATGAATATCAGGAATCCAGTTTTGAATATGTTTATATTGAAATGCCTTTTATATATGTATCCAACTAGAATGTCAAGCAACAGTGGGATATGTGATTCTGGATGAGAAAGTCCTGATTGGTAAAAATCGTTTTGTTTTTCAAATCATTGTTCATAGGAAAAATAAAAGGTTAAAAAAAACTGCAACTCCCTTCCTCTCCTTCGTCTAAATCTATAGCCTCCATATGCAAAAAGAGTGAAGAAAATGTATGCCTAAATTATTTGAGTTTTATAAGAATGTCTGCCCACATATATGTGCATATATGAGTATACAGATATAAGTGTTTTTACAGACTTTATAAAGTGTAGCTATCACTGAATGACCCTGTGTTTGCTCTGTGGCATGACATGATAGACTAAAGGGACAGTAAGTGGCATGCCAGTGCATCACACTCTGTCTGAAGTTCATTTAGCTCTTCTGTGTAGGATGTATTTTTAAACTCTACTTGACCTGAAGGAATAAGCTAGAAAAGCATGTCTGTTCTGACCTCTAATGTTCTAACACCAGTTATTGTGTGCCCTTGTCACTCATCTTAATATAAGACACCTCAGGCAGGAAATTGCAGTGCTTTCAGACCAATGCTAGAGTTTAACAGTGAAAAAGAATGATGAAAGAAGAAAAACAGGAAAAAAAGGAAAAAAAGAAAGACTGCTGCTTCAGAACTAATAAATGTATCATCTAACATTTTTGCTTTCTTGTCTGATAAAACTTAGCTTTATTATTTAACTGCTTGTTTCCTTAATGTGAAACTGGAGGAGATTTAGGAATTGGTAAAACAGTTCTAAATAATATTTGTAACACCAGCTTCCACATATGCGAGCACATGTAGCTCTTATTATATTATTTTGTGGGCCAAACTTTCTATCCAATGGGAAAAGAGTCTTCTTCATTATGATTGTAAAAAATGCTTTTGGAGAAAGTGTTTGAATTTTATGATACTTAAATTTATTTATTAAGGGGTGCTTATACTAATTATACTAAGCTAATTTAAAATAACTCTGAAGGGACATTATATCAACTTTATTTTTAGTAGCAAAAGACTTAAAATAGCACATGTTTTTACAAAAAACTATTTAAAACGGGATGATTTTGGGAGATATTAAAAGTGGTCATTTCTTTGTTTTATGCATGATTTACAGTTAAGTTTTACTTCTTTGTAGATCAAAGGATTAACATTATTTATCTGACTATTTCTCATTCTACAGATCTTTAACAAAGCAACTATGAAAGCATTGAGAAGAAAGTCTATTTTACTTACTGGTTATCTGGAATACATGATCAAGCATTACTATGGCAAAGATAAAGCAGAAACCAAGAAACCGGTTGCGAACATAATTACACCATCCAATATCGAGGATCGTGGTTGCCAGCTAACATTATCATTTTCTGTTCCGATAACATATTTATTCCAAGAATTAGAAAAAAGAGGAGTGGTTGTAAGTATATCTCTTGCTTTTACCTACTACTAGGGTTTTTCTATGCATTGCATATTAGGGATAAAATCTGGGTTATTTGGTTTATTCATTGCTGCTTGTTATTTCACATCAATCAGACAGTTAGTAAGCATAAATTAAGTGCCAACTAAATATTCAGCACTTGCTAATTGAAAGACACAGAGATCTGTCACCTCAGATAAAAGAGAAGAAACCACAAATTTTTACATATACAGAATAGCTTTATGTGATTTATCTACTTTCTTTATAGCTTGATCAGCAAATATTGTTTCATCATAATTACAATATGTTTTAAGCAGTTTTAGTAGTAAAAGCCCTAATATATAGTTATTGAATAAACAGAATTAAAGAACAATTCAATATGGTGAAAGGAAAAAGAAGTCAGTCTTATTTTGTTGTTTGATTAAACTAACTTATTTTCAACATTGTCACTTGTCATAAAATATACATGGACATATCTCAGGAGTGTTAATATTGTATAAAATAATTTCTTTAACCATTGGACCTAAGTGGCCTTCTTAGTCTTTTGAAAGAAGCTAGTAAGTGTTAACAGAATAATTTCAGGAAAAAATGGTGATAACAAATCTATTTCCAGTGATAATGTAATCTAAGAACTGTTCCACTCATGTGGCCCTCCGAAACTTTGGAAGGGGTCACCACAGATTCTGGAAGCACAAATCAGAATATCAGCATTCCAAACCAGTCCCTACTGTGTACAAGCTATGTGCTCTTGAGAAAGTTAGTTAACATCTGTTTTTTGGTTGCAAATCTGAGGTTGTCTAGAAAGTATCCAGCCACACAATATGAAAAAGAGACATTTACTGAAGATAACTAGATACAAGAAACATATTACATAGGATGATGATGCCTCAGACCCCTTCAAATTAGGCACCTTGGGACCTCACATAGTTCTCCCAGTCACCATCAGCTGCCCTGTCATATTTTCCTGGATCTCATTGACAGTCTAAAATCTCTTCCCTTTCACAAGACATAATGCTTAAGTGGGCACATTGTTGTGAGGAAGCTGCTGGTCACCAGTTGCCCATAGCTGTGGTCTTCTGAATCATCTGAAGTTTCCACAGAGGAATGTTCAAGCTTAACACAATTTTTTTTAGACTTTATTTATTTATTTTTAGAGAGGGGAGAAGGGAGGGAGAAAGAGAGAGAGAAACATCAATGTGTGGTTGCCTCTCACACAGCCCCCACTGGGGACCTGGCCCACAGCCCAGGCATGTGCCCTGACTGGGAATTGAACTGGTGATCCTTTGGTTTGCAGCCTGCACTCAATCCACTGAGCTACACCAGCCCGGGCTTAACACAAACTTTGATGAGAATTTGTTGCTGTGCTTGCTCAATCACATTGAATGTAATTGCCACACAGTACACATGTTCACTCAGTGGTGTCTACCACCCCCACTGACTAGAACAGTGAAGTTGTCATTGTCCACACATGCTCATTCCAGTCAACTCTCCCTGGCTGCCAGGTTACATCGATGTTGTGCAAACTGTTCTTGCTATATTAACAATGATTGGGCTTTTTCTGGATAGACCTTGTAAACTTTCTTCAAGAAACTGTTATGGGAATTAAATGGACCTATACACATAAACCATTTACTACGCAGGCTAGCCTGTAGTGGATATCTCTTAAGATAGTTGTAATGATCTTCAGGCTCGGCCAACTTCTCTGGGCCTATATCATAATATTTCAGCAGTCTCAGTATAAAACAAAATTAATTTTCCTCTGTAGTAAATAATAAAAACATTTATTTGAGCAAAAGGACATACAACCTGCAAATACAGGTTCAGGTATTAATCTAAATTGTGTTCTCCATTTCCCTGACAAAGGAGAGGCTGCCTTTTATAATGAAAGTTTCCACCTAGGTTTCCAATTATGTCCATTTTATGTAAATAAAGTATTCAAATTGTGCTGTTCCAATTGGTTAGTGCAGAGTAAAATAAGCATACAAATTGTGCTATTCTGATTGAATTGGCCAGGTCTCACTATGTTGGTAAAAAGATAAAACTGGGCATTACCCCCAGTTATTGACTCAGACAGCATAAACAAGCTGTGGGGAGCCAAGAGTTTAATCTGAAGTGTTTCTCGGTGTACCAAGTACTTTGTGTGAAGAGCCTCAGTCTGCTAATGGTCACCAGACTCTTACTTAAAAACCAGGCCCTTTGTTCATCCTGGGCAGTCCAGCTCAGCAGATAAATCTTTTTCAGTGTTCATATCAAATGAATTTTCTTCTCAAGGCTCATTCGAGGAATTCAATCAGCTCCTTGTTTGCAAGATTAAGAATTAGAGAAGTCAATGCAAGGATAATTGTCTAAAACTTTCCAGAATAGTGTTTAGTACTCATTCATTTAAATGTGTTCAAAATTCCAGGCTCCCCAGGGTCTCCCCAGGGTCTCCCCATAGACAAATCATGTGTATGCTCTATTAAATGCATAAAGAAAATGACTACTGCCCCCTGGCTGGTATAGCTCAGTGGATTGAATGCAGGCCTGCAAACCAAAGGGCAGTAGGTTTGATTCTCAGCCAGGGCACATGCCTGGGTTGCAGGTGGGGTACCCCATGGTGGGGTACGAGAGGCAACCACACATTGATGTTTCTGTCTCTCTCTTTTTCCCTCCCTTCCCCTCTCTAAAAATAAATACATAAAAATAAAAATAAATTACTGCTGAGTGGACTTCAGAAAGCACTTCTGCATATTCATGTAATAACCCATTAATATTTTAGTTATAACTAAAAGGAGGGTTTCAAATAACATAGAAACACCATATTTTAATTAAAGTGAAATCAACATGACTGTTACATGTAAGTTTGTCTTTAATTCAAATATTCACTATGAGAATAATGCTAACTGTTGTGACTTTATTTTTCCCCCACAGTGTGACAAACGGGGACCAAATGGCATCCGAGTGGCCCCAGTTCCTCTCTACAACTCTTTCCATGACGTTTATAAATTTATCAATCTGTTCAATGCTGCACTTGATGCTTCAAAAGAAAAAAATATCGGTGTTTAGAACAAATCAAGCAAATGATATTGAAAGCTTCTGTGATGATTTCGTTATTTTTATTCATTTTAATTATTAGAAGTATTAAAAAACTTACTACACATAACTAGCAATAAATTGTATACTTTACAAAAAATCTGGTACAACTTTTATGAGTCAGTGTCCCTGAGGAATCTATGATTAATTTTGTGGATGAAGATCCTCAGTGTTCCAAATACTATGTTCACAATCTTCTTTAGCTGGCACATTTCATGGTCAGCATTTTTATTGGTTCAATTTATAACTTGACTATTTCATGATATATATGAATTTTGTGTCAATTTTATAAATATTACTTTAGTTTTAATTTCCCAAAGACTTTTTTGTAAGAACCACAGTTGAACAGTCTGATATATGCATGATTTTGCAATATTCTATCTACCTCTAATTTAAGGAACAGAAAATACTCTTTCTAAGGTAGTGTCATTCAAATGTTTTTGGCTACAGTCCACACTAAGAAATATATCTAATAACAGAAATCAATATTGGTGTGTGTATATGCCTTATTTTATTTAATTTAGTATATAATTTTTAATAATATTTTAACATCTGTGAAAGAAAAGTCTTTCAATTTTCAATCAACTGTTTCTTACAATTGCCATTGGCCACTCTTTCCCATTACCATACTTGATATTAGCATAATTCTCATAATGAATAGATATCATCTTAGTTCCAATTAAAAATGATATCTATAACAAAAAACAAATGTTTTGTAAATTATTCACCTGTGTTTGATATTTATTATTTTATTTTATCTTATTGCTGTAATTGTTGGTTGAAACACAATAAATTGATTTTACCACCCACTCTTGGGTGAATTTTCTGAATCATTTTTCAAGGATGTCTCTTTATATAAAGTTATCATATTTCCTCTTTGTTTAATGGAAACTTCCCCTGATAAAAGACGTTTGATGTTACTCTGTCACTGAAATAGTGAAATAAGTCACCCCATGATAAGTGGATTGAGGACTGGAATTAGGAAATGACTGCTTCCTCACTCAACCTCTGTCCCAAATCTCTGGACCTTTCTTATCCACTATGAAAACTTCAGTTGCTCTCAGCTCTGCTGGATTTCCATAGCTTTTAGTTGTTGATGCCATTACTGTTATACATGGATTGACAAAATGTTCCATATTTGTATATATTCTCACTAAGAAAGAGTGACTGTGACATGAATATTTACCTATTGAAGTGAAGTTGAATGAAACCACTCAGAAAACGACTTTGGATGTTAGAGTTAAATAAAAAGATGCAGACCAACACCAACAATAGCAGCTACTGACATTTATCGAGAATGTACCATGTACCATGTATTATGCTACTCTATTTATGCTATCTTACTTAATGGAGTAGTTGCATAATTGCTTTAGTAAACCTTCCCACTCCAACTTCTGGCAAAATTTATCTTTATATACAGAAAAAAATCTCAAAACCTTAAACCTCAACCATGTATGACCCCATGTAAAAGAAACCATTTTTGAACCTCAGCAGGATAAACAAAACAGATATGGTTTCAGCTCTCATGGAATATGTAGCTAAGTGGGAGAAACAAAGAGTAAATATATAAATACCCAGGTAAATGTATAATTAAACACTGTAACCACTATAAAAGACAAACATGATACTATAAAAATATCTCAATGGTATTAATTAGGCAATTGAACAGGGAAGGTATATGGAGGTACCTATAAGTTTAAGTTCTAAAACATTTCACACTAATCAAATTAAAATTGCATCCATTTGTATATACAAACCATTTATGAATGATCAGCACTATATCCTTATCACCCAGGTTAAGAAACAGAAAGGAAGAAATTCCCTTCACCCTAGCTTGTGTCCCCTTCCACTCTGTAATCCAGAAATAATTATCAAATTACATTTTCTGTTAATAATTTCCTTACTTCTTTAAAGTTTTATATCCATGTGTGTACTCATAAGAATATATTAGTGAATTTTGCCTGTGTGTGGACTTTGCATAGAGGTATACTATATTTATTCTTCTGATTGTTTTGCTCAACATATTTTTGAGATTCACCCATCTGTTTCATATTCTGTTTTCATCCATTTTCATTGTTGCTCAGTATTCCTTTATGTAATTGAAGTTGTTACTTCATTCTGCAATTAATGAATGCTTTGAGTTGTTCCAATTTTTAAAAAATATTGCAATAATGCTGCTATTAACATTCTTAGTATATATGTTCAAAAGTTTGTCCAGGACATATAACCAAAAGTGCTGGGGATAGGGCACACACACGTTCAACCTTACTATGGACTATTAAACTGTTTTCCAAAGTGGTTGCACCAGGTTCTGATCCAAACATAGGAGGTGGCCGTTCCCTTGCTCCTGATCTTGGCCAACAGTAGCTACTGATTGCTTTTGTAATGCACACGGGTTAAAATAGCCAAGGTAATTATTAAAATAAGGAAGAATAAATTTATAATTTCCACACAAGTAGAAGGAAAAAAACAGAAGGAGACACACTACGAGCCCACACACACATACATGCACACATGCACACCCATACATTGCAATTTATGCTTCAGAAACCATTCTTAATCTGTGGATTGAGCCAAGACTAGAATTTCACATGGATTTGACACTTGCTCAGCTCTTTTCCCTACCACATTCTCATTATTTCCCTCCTGCATAGTTTTCTTTCTGGTGAGCACTCCTTCAATAAAACATAGTTATTTACCCGTATTTTTCAGACCATAAGATGCACCTAGGTTTTAGAGGAGGAAAATAGGAAAAAAAATTGAAGCAAAAATGTGTAAAATATAACATAACATAACATAAACAACATAATATTTCACCAATGTAAATGTAAACAGAACTCAACAGCGCTATTAACAACCATTATTCCTTCCAAATTTGGGGAGGGAAAAAAAGTGTGTTTTATAGTCCAAAAAATATGGTAAATCCTCACCTCAAGCTCTACTTCTAGGGAACCTAATCTAAGACAGCATTTCTGTTATTAAGTCTTCATAATCATAAGTATTTTCTATTCTATATTTAATATATGATAAATGTGTAGTTCCCTTTATGTTGGTTTTCACATACAATGCTTGTTTCCTCCTGGATATTGCAATTGTTAACTTTAAAGTATTCATTTATCTTGACCTTTCCTGGATTTTTTCAGAGCTGGGTTAAAGTGTGTTTTTCAAGATACACTTGTTTCCACCAGTTGCCCATGGTCACTTCTGACACAAGAACATTTTAAGTTCTTGTTTTCAGGCTTTTCAGATCACATGAATAGCATGACACTGGATATATTAATTCACACAATGACCAATTTATAGTTACAAATTGTCAGAAGATATCATTTTCTTGCTGTATCATTTACATATTCTTTGGTTGTCAACATTATATAAAACTCTGCTATCAGCTCATTGACCTTGGCCAGTCCCAGGCTTGTTCCATGTCCTATTTAGTTATCAACACTGAAGGCCAATGACTCTAGGATTTGGCAGAAACTCTAAGGATGAAAGCGATGCTTTATTCGTAAGTTTAGTTTGATCCTTGTTTACTTCCCAGGTTTCTGCTTTTATTTAATTTGGGGGTTCTGAGAATTTCTTTTATGCCAACTAATTTTAAAAGACTTTTTTTTTGTTGTTCATCATTTATTTCTGGTATCTAATGCTCCATAGCATGCTAAATTGTCAAAATGTTTTAAGACTAAAAGCAAAAATATGATGTATTTTTTTTCTTATGTGAATAATGAACTATGCTTTATCAGTAACTCAAGCACATTGATATAAATGCCAATACTTTTGTAGTCTTTTGTGTAGTGCTAAATTATACTTAATGTTCAAGACTTACTGGAGAAAAGGCTGGTGTGAGGTTGATGATATTTACAAATGAAAAAAATACATTTTTTTCTGCAGCTATCTCCTGTTCAGTATCTTTCCACTTACTCTTGAGTTCTACACAGGTATACATTCATATTGTGACATGTTTATTTCATAAGCTGAAGTTACCAGAGCATTTCTAATATTGCTGCATAATTATAAGAAAATAACCTGCAAACACTGTGGAAGCATCACATCATAAAGCAAAAGATGAAAATCACTAGATTAGGGGACCCTGATACTGAGATTATGGATTTAATACTTGTAGTGGCCATTATCCTGTGATTATATGTTTGGAAAGATACATTATTTTTAATCACAACAAGATGTATTCTCTAAACCTAACCAAGGAGGTGAAAGACCTGTATGCAGAAAACCACACAACACTGAAGAAAAAGATCAAGGAACACACAAACAAATGGAAACATATACAGTGTTCATTGATCAGAATTAACATCATCAGAATGTCCATATTACCCAAAGCAATTCACAGATTCAATGCCATACCTAATAAAGTACCAATGGCATATTTCACAGACATAGAACAAACACTTCAAAAATTTATATGGAACCATAAACAACCCCGAATAGCTGATGTAATTTTGAAAAAGAAGAGCAAAGTAGGAGGGATCATAATACATGATACCAAACTGTATTACAAGGACACTGTAATCAAAACAGCCTGGTATTGGCATAAAAACAGGCTCATGGACCAGTGGAACAGAATAGAGAGCCCAGAAATAAACCCAAATCTCTACAGTCAACTAATATTTGACAAAGGGGGAAGCAACATAAAATGGAGTAAAAATAGCCTCTTCAACAAATGCTGTTGGGAGAACTGGACAGCCACATACAAAAAAAAAATGAGCTTACACCATACACAAAAATAAATTCAAGGTGGATAAAAGATTTAAATATAAGCCATGACACCATTAAAGTCCTAGAGGAGAACATAAGCAGGAAAATCTCAGATATTTCACACAGCAACATTTTTACTGATATGTCCCCTAGAGCAAGAGATATAAAGGAAAGAATAAACAAATGGGACCTCATCAAAATAAAAAGACTCTGCATGGCTAAAGAAAATAGTATCAAAATAAAAAGAGAACCAACAGTATTGGAAAACATATTTACCAATGATACCTCAGACAAGGGTTTAATCTCCAAAATATATAAAGAACTTACTTACACAACTCCACTCTAAGAAGACAAGCAACCCAATTAAAAAATGGGCAAAGGACTTGAACAGACACTTCTCCAAGGAGGACATAAAGAGGATCCAGAGACACATGAAAAGATGCTCAGTATCACTAGCCATCAGAGAGATGCAAATTAAAACCACAATGAGATACCACTTCACACTGGTCAGAATGGCCATCATAAACAAATCAACAAACAACAAGTGTTGGAGAGGTTGTGGAGAAAAGTGCAACACTAGTGCACTGTTGGTGGGACTGCATATTGGTACAACCACTGTGGAAACCACTATGAAATTTTCTCAAAAAATGAAAAATGGATCTGCCTTTTGACCCAGCAATTGCACTGCTATGATTATATTCTAGGAACCCTGAAGCACCAATGCAAATGAACCTATGCACACCAACGTTCATAGCAGCACAATTTACAATAGCTAAATGTTGGAAGCAACCTAGGTGCCCATCAGTAAATGAATGGGTCAAAAACCTGTGGTACATTCACACAATAGAATTCTATGCAGCAGTAAGAAAGAAGGAGCTCCTACCCTTTGCAACAGCATGGATGAAAGTGGAAAGCATTATGCTAAGCGAAATAAGCCAGGCAGTGAAAGACAAATACCATATGATCCCACCTTTAACAGGAACCTAAACAATAAAATAAGCAAACAAGCAAAATATAACCAAAGACACTGAAATAGAGAACAGGCTGACAGTGACCAGAGGGGAGAGGGAAGGGAATTTGGGGGGAAAAGGAGAAGGATTTACAGGAACATGTATAAAGG